TTAGCTATTTGAAGGCCTGTGCTTTTCCATATAAATTTTAAAATAAGCTTTTTTATAGTTGTAGAAAAACCTTGCTGGGGTTTTAATAGGAATTGCTTTAAACCTATGCATCAATTTGAGGAGAATTGATATTTTTATTATGTTGAGTTTTCTAATCCATGAACATGTATGTCTCTCATTTCATTTAGGTCTTGAGTTTGTTTATAATTTTGTAATTTTCAACACACTGATCCTTTAGATGTTTCATTAACTATATACCTAAGTATTTCGATTTCTTTGGAATGATTATAAATTGTATTATGGTTTTTTTAATTTTGGTGTCTACCTGTTGATTGTTAGTATATAGAAATGTGATTGATTTTTATGTATTCTTTTATCCTGAGTTTTTACTGAACGCATTTATTCTAAGAGTATCTTTCTATATTCCTTGAGATTTTCTGTATGGATAATAATGTCACCTGCAAATACTGGCAGTTTTATTTCCTCCTTTCTAGGCTCTATGTTTTTTTTTTTTTTCTTGCCTAATACTGGCGAGAATTCTAATACTATGCTGACTCAGAAGGTTGTGAAATAAATATCCTTGCCTTGTTCTGGATCTTAGGGGGAAAGCATTTAGCTTTTCAACAGTAAGTATACTGTTAGCTATAGATTTTCTCACCTTTTTATCAAGTTGAGAAATTTCCTTCTATTCCTAGTTTTCTGAGAGTTTTTTATCATGAATATGTGTTGGATTTTGTCAAAACCTTTTCAGCATCAGTCGACATGATCATATCATTCTGCTTGATAAATTATGTTTAAAATTTCATAGTTGGAAAGAATGATTCTCATGAAATGCTCTGGGACTAATGAAACATACATGGGGTATTTTCAGTGATATCTAAATAATGAAAAACAAATTAAAAGATAATGATAAAATTCTCCTTATCCTATTCTTTATATGTGTATTACTCTTTTTCTATTGACTATAGCTGCTGATTAGCTGCTAAAATTATTTTTCTTTTAGTAAATTACCATTCTTTTAGTATTTTAGCTTTGTGCTTCCCAAATATTACCAGACCGAATACACATTCTAAGTTAAATTAGGCTAGGTCTCTAAAATTAGGATATCTAAAGGGAGTCAAATTGATTGAAGTTACTAAAAACGAAACAAAAAAACTTCATGTTACAAAAACCATTAGGATTTTTTTAATTGTATGACAGAAATATTATATCTAAAATATTGTACACATTAGAGCTTAGGGAGTAGAATAATAAATATTATTTACTTTTAAAGAAAAAGACAAAACAGGTTCATCAGAAACTTAGCTGAATTTTTAAAATGAATACACTCTGCTTTGGGGCAATTGTATAACTGTAGCTTTGAAAACCGTAGTAAGGTTTAGTTCAGAAAAGGATTATGCAGATCGAGCCCTGCATCCCTATGTGGTTGACAGAATGTTGTCTTGGTGTGCTCCCACTTCCCCAAGGCACCAGGTTTAAATTCGTTTGTATCCTGCTCTTTTCTGCTGCTTCCTTCAACCACAGCCTAAAGCCACAGCTGGCTCTCTGGGAAACAGGAAAATGCCTGGAGTCAGGTGGGTCTGTGAGTATGGCCAACGGGGGTGGTCGTGCAGAGACAGGTAGAGATACTATCCCGAAGACCTCAGTAAAATGTCAGCCACAAAAATGTCAGTTCTCAAAATAACTATTTAAAAATGTACCTCTCTAACTCCACTAAAGCTTTCAAGATGTTTTCTCTGAGATAATAGAACTATTTTTTCCTTTATCAGATTCATCCTGGCTTGAGCTTCGCTCTGAAGCTTAATCACTGGAGGGAAATCACTCAGGATTCAGTTACTGATTTTTAATTAAGTAGATCTGGACCCGGATCTCACTGCTCACCATGCGGTTATAGGTCCAATATTTCTTCAGCCAAAACATCTTCTTTCTCTAAAGCAATAGCTTGTTTGTGTGTGAGATGTTTCCATTTTAGGGAAGAAAGTTAGAGTGACATTTGTTCTCAGGCACAGGTGTCGTTAGAGAGTGGCTCTGACATAGCCTGACTGATGAAGCAGGTGCTGATGGATGAGAGCTGTCTGCATGGTCGAAAAATGTGCAGTAATGAGGAAGATGATGGATTTACAATGCTAAAAATACCAAGTTTAAGATGTCTTATGTAGCAAAAAAAAAGAGACAGTTTCGAAGTATCAATACAGTAAATATATATTATTATGTATAGGACTCTATTTCATAGTGACAGAGCTCATCATACTATATTCTTCCACCATTGAAATAGGGAAATAGTAATGTGGCAATAGCACTTTTTGGTAAGGAACGCTTTTGTTGTTAATAGCGATCTCTGTATTTTTCCCAAAGACAAATACTGATGCTTCCATGTTGCCATGGGAGGAACAGAAGCATAGAGCAATTGTACTATGTTTCAACACGAAAGTGAGGGAATTAGAGCAGCCACCATTTCCTGTACCACGCAAACACCTATTCACTCATATAATACTATATTCACTTCAGTTATTTCACTATTTTGGCCAAGATTATCTGATGATAATGTTAGTTTCCCACTGTCTTTATTCTATGTGTATATTTTATGAATTAAGCGATGTGCTCTATTATAGTTTGGTATCTTGAACAAGTTTTTTGTGTGTGTGCCAGTCTGCTATTACCACAATAATGCTGTATAACAAACCCTCCAAAATTCAGTGGCTTATGATAAAAGCATTTGTTTTGATCACTTACGGGTCTATGGACTGGCCTGCCTGTCTCTGCTCTAGGTTGCCCGTGGGCTGCACCCAGCTCTAGAGTTGAGGGTGGGTTCAAATGTGCTCTACACGAATCCACTTTCTCTTTGGACCAGCAGTTACTTGGGGCATGATCTCTTAGTGGATCACAGGATTACACAAGGCCCAGTCAAGAAAACATAAACACAATTTAAGGCCTCTGCCTACTTGATGACCACTAATACTCATTGTCTAAAAGCAAGTCACATGGCCAACCCTAATATCAAGTGGACAGAAAAATAAACTCTGTCTATTCTAGTGTACTACAAAGAGGACTGAAGACAGAGAGACTAAAGGATTTAGAATCAGCCAATTAAGCCAGGAGTGGTGGTATGGACCTGTAATCCCAGCTGCTCACGAGGCTGATGCAGGATTGCTTGAGCCCAGGAGTTTGAGACCAGCCTGGGCTACATAGTGAGACCCCATCTCAAGAAAAAGAAAAAGAAAGAACTAGCCAATCTACCACTCAATTCATGGCAGCATACTCCAACAATTTAAGAATTTTTGTCCTGGGGGATCCCTGGAACGAGGGTGTGTCTTTGTAGCGGTAGTACCATATATTAAATGTGTGTAATGGCATTTACTGTGCCCAAGTCCAATTGTCATTCTGCCCTTATTAACTTAGCAATAATTAATAAATAAGTAGTGATAAAACATATAGGCTGAGATTTTTAAGGTAACGTTTAGTGTTTGAAGCTGATGTATTGCAGTGATGCCCCCCAACATCGTTTTCCCGTACACAAACCTCCAAGTCCTCGCCGCTCCTCACCACCTCCGTCCTGCGCTCCAGCAGCATCCTCTTAACCGCTCTCATCTCCTCCAGTTATTCCCTTCCTCGTCAAATGCCGCCACCAGGTAAATTTTTAGATCAGACTTGATTAGAAAGTACATTCTGATCCTACCAAACCCTTTCAAGTGGACGCCCATTATCCACAGAATCAAGTCTAAACGTCAAACTCTCTAATCAGGCATTCGGGGCCCTCCGTAGACTAGCGTGTCCTGTCTTCCCAATCGTGATTCTCATCATTCTCCTTCATGCGCCCTGTTGTTTTTCTCAAACAGAATTATGCTTTCCTGTGCATATAATGTAAATTTGCAGAGTTGAGGAAGGCTGCTATTGTTTATATTTCCTGCCAAGATCCAAGTATAAAATCTTAGTGCCTCCTAATGTTGAAAGCAATCCTTTCACTGTTAGCAAATAAACAACTGGAATGAGACAAGTAGATGGAAGACCGGTGCCTGTGAATTTTAACTTTGGAATTAGCAATGACCTGTATTCGTGTAGAATGCGAGTTTTATGAACATTGCTCTTGCACCTATTTAATCCCTATTCCTACTAGGGCTCTTTTGAGCTTAATTCGTCCTCACTGTTTCTTTCAAAATTGTCAATAAGTTTTTTCTTTTTTTTTATGCTCTTTTTATATCACTTCTGAGGCATCAGCTTAGGCTGTGGAATGGACAAAACTAAATCTTATGTTCTGAGGATTTTGTTCTGTATTTTTTTATAGTAGACCATTTAATCATTTTGAGATTATCATTTATCTCCCTTTTATATTTTTATTCTGAATTATAAAACTTTTATCTCAAAGTAGACTTTTTTCTCTAGTAATTTTTTTTTTTCTTTAGCTTCCCCTTTTTTTGGGAAAAGAAAAAGTCAAATATAGAGTGGGACTTAATAGCAACCAGACTGCAGCCTCCTTCTATCAGACTATTTAAATGAAAGGTTTGTTGGGAGTCAATATTCTTGAGGTGCTGGGTAAATTCTTCATAAATTCAGTTTTCAGTCTGCTAGTGTTCATAAAAGCAGAACATAAAAGTAAAAGATATTCACATTTTCCACCAGTTTTATTATGCAAAATACTTAACTTTTGTGTAAAATCGGATTTTCTCAGGGTTAGGAAAAGCTTCAATAAATCACATCAGTAGTTCTAAAAATGCACATAGAACTCAATATGTTTCCCTGCTTCTCTTGGAAACTCTGTATGAATGAGAAGGAGAAGACTGAGGATGAAGGGAGGGAGGGAGGGAAGGAGGAAGAAAGGAAGGGAGGATGGATGGACGGAGCTATACACCACCTGCGGAAGCCCACTGACTCTCAGGGAACAACCTGATAATTTTCACAGTGTGATAGAAAATAGGAACTATGTTCTTTTTAAAATCCTCCATGTAAAACTTAAGATGTATTCTGTTTGGTCTGCATAGTGACGTGTCTTTGTCTTAATACAGGACCTGAGCAGGGATGCGGTGGTTATCTGACAGGTTCCAATAATACCTTTGTCTCTCCTGATGCTGATTCGAATGGAAGATATGACAAGAATTTAAACTGCGTATGGTTCATAATTGCACCTGTAAACAAACTAATTAAACTCACCTTCAGTACATTTGCTCTGGAGGCAGCAACTTCTATGAAAAGATGCCTTTACGATTATGTAAAGGTAAGGCCATTTTATTTTTTAACAGAGTCTGCTAGTCCCAGCTTTTAATACAATGTATTGCAGTTTACGTATAGGAAGTCCTGAAAATTGTGAGTACAGGTACTATTGCCTTTTAAAATGACTTACTCTTCAATGATGCAACATATAAGGTTATAGATGCTCCAACTCCATATCAAATTAATCTTTAATATGGTGGATTCAAAAATTTTGTGTGGCTTCTAACGTTAGCATTAGGATCCCCTGTTCGTCAGTGCTTTGCAAGAGCTGATCTATGGGAAGATTGGTTTTATGAAAAGAGATACCCAAAGGACCTTTGGCAAATCCTAAAATATGGAAAATATATTAGTTCTGAAGTCCCATTAAAAGTAAATCAAGTGACCTTTCCGTTATTTTATTTATTTATTTATTTATTTATTTTTGGTGACAGAGTCTTGTTCTGTTGCCCGGGCTAGAGTGCCATGGTGTCATCCTAGCTCACAGCAACCTCAGACTCCCGAGCTCAAGCGATTCTCCTGCCTCAGCCTCCTGAATACCTGGGACTATAGGCATGCGCCACCATGCCCAGCTAATTTTTCTATTTTTTTTGTAGAGATGGGGTCTCGCTCTTGCTCAGGCTGATCTCAAACTCCTGGCCTCAAGCAGTCCTCCCACCTCAACCCACCACAGTGTTAGGATTACAGGCATGAGCCACCGCACCCGGCCTTTTTCTGTTCAATTTGTAATGACTTACATTACATTATTGTCCCTATGAGGCTACATAAATTAAGATTACAAGTGTTAAGTAGCATCGTTTAATATTTACTACTGCAATCTCAAGGGAAAAATAACAAGTGTGGCAACATTTCTGTCCGTGAGAAGCTAAGTCTGATTGGAAAATTAAGGGATGACACATGCAAGTCACCAGTGAACAGTTCAGCACAGTAAATATTTAAATGCTATCTCACACATTAGACACAGGCATGAAGCAATGTGCAAGTTTAAAAGAGAGAAGATTAGTGATAATCTGGTGTGATCATGAAAGACTTCACAGAGTGAGGGAAAATATATTCAAGCCAGGAGAGAGTTCTGGGCAAGGTGAACATCAAGAAAAGGCATAAAAGTTGGAATGTGCATGTTAGATTTTATGCAGCTGAAAATAAGGGGTGATTGAAGGTTCTCCAGTGGGTGATCTGATGAGTGCAGTATTTAAGGGAGTCTCACCTGGAATCAGCATCTAAGGTGGACTGGAAGGAGAGGCATCTCGGAGGGCTCCAGGGAGAGGTCACCCTTAGTTAGGACAGCACTCTTAGGCAGCTGCGGGGGAGATGGCAAGACGGGTGCAAGAGGAACTTAAGTTCCAGGACTGTTGTAAATTTTAAGGAAATTGGTTTTAAAAGAGAGGGAAGGAAAAGTCATAGATGGAATACACATTTGAGCACTTGATTATATACATGTATTTTTACTGTGATAAACACTAAGTCTAGGAGGCCAGAACAATGTCAGACATGTGGGACTGCAGTGAGCAGATACTGGGGCGGAGGTCCAGAGAGAAGGCAGTGCCACCATGAACAGAGAGGAGGCAGAAAAAGGGGATGTCTTAGGTCAGGGGAAACGATGCTTTCCTCGAGGCTGACCTCATGGAGCTAGACAGCCATGCTCTCACTCACCTCCACGAAAGGCACCCAGCGGGGCACTTGGAGACGACAACAGAAAAACAAAACACAACAAAACACGACTCATCTCATGAATCATGAGAAAATGGGAACACCAGGCATCATACATGTCCCTGGAGTCAAGGGGGAGGATTCTTTCACAAAGGACAGGTGATCAATACTATTAAATTGCCAGGTAGAGGCCAAGAAAGGTTAAGATGAAGAGCAAACTCCTCCCCTTGGATGACGAGCATTTTAACACAGTATCAGCACAGAAGCTGCATCAGAGGAGTTCGTGGGAGACCAGAGACAACAGGAACGTCCTTTCAGGTTGAATTCTTCCTTTCTAAAATCAGACCAACATGGCCAGCGCAGCTCTAAAGCTGATATCCAAGACTATTCAGGAGTTCCCCTGGTTTTCCAGAAAGGTATTAATGAGCTTCAGAGACAGTCTGGGGACTCAAATCCAATTTTGCGACCAAATTTCCTAATCTTCCTGAATCTTCATCACTTCATCTATTTAGAAACAAAATCACATAATAGTACTGCCTTGCAAAGCTGTTTTGAGGATGAAAATTATGCATACTACAGTGTTCAGTGCTGTGCCTGACATAATTTGTAAACAAATATACTTCCTTTTTTCCCTTTGAGTAATTCCAAATAGGCATGGACACTATGGAATCTCCTTTTCTTAAAATACTAAAAATAATTGATTTACATATAAAATTATAAGTTTACATTTCTTTAGAATGTTTTGGGTATGGTCCTACCAGGAGGGTTGATTGGATTTACTCTCAAGATCCATTTTTATGGAGCGTAATTTGATAATATCACTGTGATTGTCTGAATTTCCTCAAGTCATTTAGGACAGAAACAGCAATGTCAAAAACAAAGAGTTGTTTTCTAGCTTCACAATAAAATATCCTTGTTTTTTTTTTTTTTGTTCAAAGAAATTCTGTTCAGATCTATTCTTGTTTTCCCTCTTGGGGAAAGCAATTTCCTTCAACTGGCAACTTTTCCAGCTTCTAATAAACTGGCAGATCAAAGAACAGCCTTTAGAATGTGAAGCATGGAGGTATTTATTAAAGAGATTCTCTGCGATAAATCAGACATCCGGTTCCTTTTGGATTGTTTCTTAGAGATTATAATCAAATAGCTTTTTAGAAAAGCTAATTTAATTCAACCCTATAGGTAGATATACAAGTAAAATCGTGCCAAATTCTTTTATTCATTCATAATTCTGTCACTCTTATATGAAAGGGTTGACTTGGAGAGTAATTACTGTAGCTGCAGTACAAAGTGAGTTGTGTGTTTCACTGAGTGGTCGCTGTTGAAATCAACATCATATCCATTCCATAGAGAGTTATTTGGCATGACTGTATGCCAGGCGTCGCAGCCCTCACTGGAGACGTCGACAGTTAAAGAAACACCTTGAGGAGTTCTAGCTTCTCAAGGCGCTGTCGGTAGAGCGTAGGAGACTGACACGTAAGCAAGTTAGCGATTATATGGCACGCAGACATGGTAAGTAGGGACAACGTAGAAAAATGGGCCAGAGGTGGGTCTGGTTGACTTCACCGTGGGGTTCGGGAAAGCCTTCCTAGACAGAACGACTGATCTGGGATTTACACGATAAATGGAAACTTACCCCCTTTGTTGTCCTCCACAAAACTCAGAGGAGCATCGCAGGCACTGGCCACCAAAAAGGAGGAAGGGGGGCTTCGAGCTGCACCGTCTCAGACCCAGTTCCATGACACTGAATCACCTGTCAGTTCAGGGCTCCTGTGCTGAGCAGGAAGCAGGGTGGACACAAGGGTGCAGAAGTCTGACCCTAACTGACTTCCTCTGCCCGGAAGTGTGGAACCAGCAGAAAGGAGAAACCAGATTGGTACCCCTTTTCAGAGCCGATATTTTGCAATGCTTCCTTTCCCATCTGCAGTGAAAGTCATGTACGCTACAACCTGCCCATAACATAATTTCAAAAACCTATATAATGCACTCAATGCAACGAAAAGGAGAAATAAAAGGAAAGTATACAAAATAGTGCATATTTCCATATGTAAATACTCTGACACCACTATGCTAGGTCACATAAAGTAGTCAGATTCTTCACCATATGTGAAGTTATGGTAAATAAAGAGTAGAAATTTAAACAAATATGACGAGCTGTTTTTGCAACTTGAATGCCAATAGCATCATCACCATCTGCAACATGAGTTTCCAAAACGGTGAGAAAACGTAACAAAACCAAACAAAACCAAGTACAATCTTCCCTCAGCTTACACAGTAATTGTATTCCTGGAAATCTGGTGCATATCAAAACTGTGGAAAAATGTTTTTGTGTTTATATATAGAATGGATTTAGGTTCTGAGGTCAAATCACTATAAATGGGTTTTTTTTTTCCTTACACGAATGTCTGACAGGACATTCAAGAGTTACGTGGGGCATAGAATAAGTCCGCACTTTGCAAAACTGTCATGTGAATTGCAGGATGGAATTCTGTAATGCGGCTTCTAAACGCTAAATGCCAGTTATAGCCCTGAGTTATTGTGATGACCCTAAAAGCACCATGCTTGTGCAAAACCCTCCCCAGGGGGTCGTACTGACCTCACTGAGAACCTCTGTCTTTACCCCTGGGTTTAACCATTCATCCTGTGGTTGGCCACTAGCAAGCAGGGTTGTCCATCATCGCAGAGAGCATCAGCAGTCTGTGGGGCCATCGGGCTTCTGTCTTTATGAGGTAGTACCTCCTATTCGCTCATTCATTCATTCCATTATTCATTCAATCAATGTTAATTTGAGCACCTACTACATTCCAGGCATTGCTCCAAGCACTGCAAAAGAGCATTGAGATTTTAAAAAACAATATCATGAAAATTCTTGCACTTGGGAAGCTCATACTAATCATTGTTTCTTTGTGGCTCTTCCTGAGACCACTGGGACTAGTGGAATTGTTTTCCTAGAAGATTCTGAAATGGGTCAGAGTTTAGCCCCAACCTTGAAAAATGACTCTCTATTCTCTTTCCCATACCAAATGATGCCCTAGTATATGCCCTCCAGCAGACCCTATTAAAGGTTCTGGAGTAAGATCAAAGAATTCATGAAAATACTCTAAGATGCAACATAGAGATCTCCAAGTAAGAATATAAAAATCCTCCAATTATCAAATTGCTAGAGAAATATTAAAAGATAAAATCCTAAGGACATTGTTTAAAAGTATCAAGTTAACTTGAAAAGAAAGTCCAATATCAAAGTCAATTGCCCTTGTGCATTAAGAGTTTATAGAAATTAAAATCTAAAATTTTCCTTTCCTAGTTTTTTCAGCTGCTCAAATTGAAGGCTGGGTAAGGTACAGGATCTTGCAGTAGTTGTAGCAGAGGCTTGTCTTCCACTAAATTACTGGTACAATTCCTTCAGGATCTTGAGCAGATTCTAAAACTGTTAAAGACTTTCAAAAGTTGAGAAAACACAAAACACAAAATTCTTCTCCGCACTTGCCCACATCCACAAGACTTAGAACATGATCCAGGCTCCAGGTCTGACACAATTATGGCAGGAAACATGTGCTCCCAGAATGCAGTGCGTAGCTGCGTATGATCGTGCAGGTCCTCAGAGCACCATTTATACCCTGGTTTATGCATGATCCCGCCTCCTCGGCATTGCACAGGGCACCCCCTGGAACACACTGTGGGGCAACCCTGCAAAAGCCCCTGGTGAGATTTAGTGTTATCAGAGAACGAGAGCAGATAGAGAAGACCTTGGCTTTGGCACACAGGAGTCCAGGAACCCGTGTCAGTTGTCCGGAGGCCACAGCCTGTCCATTTCAACTCGGTTAGGAGAAATCTTACCACGGCAGTGCAGGAACCAATGCGACGCCAGCTTGGGGCCAGGCGTGCATGTCATTTCCTTCCATCCAGCTCTGCCTTCTCGCTCACACCTTCCTTCACATTTCCAGTTGTCTAGCTAAAACCCAAATCGGATCTTTAACTCTTGCAGGATGAGATCCAAATCCCTTGACGTGAAACCTAGGGAACTTCACAGGCTTGTCCACTGGCCTCCCCCTTTTCCCCTGTTCTGTCACCCGAGCGTCCAGGCACATCAAAGCATCCAGAGTTGCTGACACGTGCCACGCATCTCCTACTTCCACGACTTCCACTCATGTTCTTCGGCCGGGACGCCCTTCCTCTTTCGTGGGTCTAGAAGGTTTCTTCTGACATTCAAGGACTAATCCAAATGTCTGCATGAGGTCTTTCCTGGATCCCTATCTGGGTTCTCTGGTACACTTCCATTCTTTTATTACAGCACTTACTCATCTCTGTTTTGTATATAATTCAGACATACCATATATATATTTGCATGGATACATATATATAATCCATGCAAATAGACACATACATATAGTGTATCTGTGTATACACACAAACATATAGTTTAATACAATATATCTATATTGAATTTATGGACCTTTCCTCCCACTAGCCCATGAGAACCTCGAAGGTCTAGAAAGTGCTTTCTACATCCTTGTATGCACAGAACTTAGCACAGGGGCCTGGCACACAAGACACAGAATAAAAATGCTGCTAATATGAATGTGATCATAAAAACAGAATGGATATTAGTGAAATTTTAACTTGTATACAGAGAAAGTACACAACTTTTAAAATTTGGCAAATGTACTCTTCTGTAAAACGAGGGGGTTAGATTACAGAACTTGAGTCTCCTGGTTCTAAATTAATAATCAGGTTTAAGTAGGAGAGACAGTGCCATCTAGTGGTAAATTTTTGAAATGACTGTTTTTAACCACTTCTGCCTTATATAATCCTAGCCTTTTAAAATAATGTCAGTGCCAATGTCTGTTCTGAGCCCTCTGACACACCATAGTTCTGTTATGAATTAAATATTTGAAGCTAGATACACACAGATAACTTGGTTTAGAAATACAACGAAGATTACTCACATGGAAACAAACTTCCTAGCAATGTGTTTGAGAGAAATCCAAGCACCCACTATTTCAACAGGTGTTTATAGAGGTTACCATGGCCAGGAATTGTTCTGGGTGTCGGCGACACCACAGCGAATAAGTCAAAGTCTCCCCATCTGTGGGACTCACATTCTTGTTGGGAGAGAGACCCGGAAAAGCAAATAAGCAATAGATAAGACGTGTTTTGATTATAATAGGAAAATGAATCTAATGTTGCTGGGAGAGGACAACATTAGATAGGGGTGGCCTGTCTGAGGAGGTGACAGGTCAGCTGAGACAGAGCTCCTGGCAGGAATGGTAGCGTGTGCAGGGGCCGTGGGCAGGGAACCCCCCGGGACGGAGCAGTTGCAGGAAGCATGAGGTGCGGGCGTCTGCAGGGAGGCACAGGCCGGATCAGGTGGGACTAGCAGACCATGGCGAAGAGCTGGGATTTTAATTTCGGTGCGATGGGAATTCACTGGGGCATTTTAGGCAGAGCAAGAGCATAATGAAATGAAATAAACAAGTTAAAATATAATAAGTAGAAGGTAATACTCGCTCTGGAGAAAAATCAGGCAGGAAATGTTGGGAGAATTTACGTAGGGAAGGCCTTACTGAGCTGGCCATATTTGAGCGAAGACCTGAAGGATTGCAGGAGAGCAAACTGTGGGTACGCGGGGAAGAGCATTCCAGGCAAAGGGACCAGCACGTGCAATGGCCGTGAAGCGGGGGTGCGCCTGGTTTGCTCAAGGAGCAGAGTGAATGAAGTGGAGACAGTAAGAAATTAGACCAGAAGGGCCAGGGGTGGGGGCCTGAGGGCTGTTGCAACGGCCTTGGCTTTTATAGTGAGTACATGGGAAGCAGCTGGGAGGGTTTTCAGCAAACAGTGACCTGAGCAGACCTACATTTCAACAGTATCCTCTGGCTGACATGTTCAGACCAGACTCTCGAGGGAGGAGAGCAGAATCAGGGGCTCCCTAGGGGGCTTCAGTGATAATCCAGGCAGGAGGCGAGAGCAGCTCCGACCAGCGCATTGCCAGGAGCGGAGGCAAACAGGCAAACCGGGCGATGAGTTAGCGGACTCTAATGGCACACTCCTTTTTAAATCGTATTTTACTTTCCCAAAGAGAAAAAGAATGTTAGGCATCATACCAGGTTTTTGCTGAAAATCATTAGAACGTAATCGATTCCATTATCATTCTGTTGCTAAGTTAAGACGGGCTCTAAGAACACGAATGCAGAGATTCTTCATCATGACCTGTTGTGACTTCACGTCCAATTTAGCGTAAAATATGCAACTTCTTCGTGAGTAATGGAGAGCTAATGAACTGCTTTTCGTTTCAGTTATACGACGGGGACAGTGAAAATGCCAACTTGGCTGGAACGTTTTGTGGCTCCACTGTACCTGCGCCTTTTATCTCTTCTGGCAACTTCCTTACAGTTCAATTTGTCAGTGACCCAACTTTAGAAAGGGAAGGATTTAACGCGACATACACCATCGTGGACAGTGAGTAAATTGAGACGTTTTTGCATATTATGAAATACATGTGTATTTATGTACTAAAAATAATGCCACGCTTGTTAGATCTAAACTCAATGTTAATTACTAGCCTCAATGCTAATTACTATCTAAGCTCAACGTCAATTGCTAAACACCATGTTAATTACTCTGTGTTTAATCTGTGGTACAAATTTGATGTAATGCTTAGTCAAAGATGTATATCCCCTGGCCCTTAATAGAATGATATAAATATAGCTCCTTTGGGCTGGGAAGGTAGGGAAGGCAGAATTTTAAAGATTGTGTGAGATGAGATATGAGTAAAATGTCTCCTACATTGGTTTTTTTTTTTTCCCCCTCTTCAGTGCCTTGTGGAGGAACATATAATGCAACTTGGACCCCGCAAAATATTTCATCATCCAATTCATCAAACCCAGATGTCTCATTTTCCATCTGTACTTGGGTCATTGAGGCTCCTCTGCACCAGCAGGTCCAGATAACCGTGTGGGCACTACAGCTGAGCTCACAAGACTGCGCGCAGGATTACTTAGAGTTTCAGGACTCACCACAGGTAACAATTACAGGATGAATGACAGTCTCGTCTAGTGACTTTTTCACCGGTATTTGCAAATCACTTGAAGTAGTGAAGCCAGATTAAATAAATTCTCAAAATTACTTCCAGCTTAATGTGTTTTTCAGTTGTATGCAAAGCCCTCCATCCAGCTGTGTGGAGAAACTTGAACATGGTCCTGTAGATCAGGAGCTCTCAGACATTCATGTGCCTAAGAACCACCTGGGTGTCCTGTTAAAAATGCATACTCCGGGGACCACCCGCAAAGCCCAATTCCCCCACATCGCACCCATTAATCTGAATTTCTGACAAGCATCGCTGGTGCTTTGGTAGCAACGCTGGAGCTCCATGGACCGGGCTTGGAGAAACACTTCTGTAGTTAGTGGCATCCGTGAATGGGATGAGTTGAAGGAATCCATGCAGAACACCGGAGAATCAGTTAAGAGGCCGTCTGGCGCCAGTCCAGCAGGGCTGTCTACATAGTAATGTAAGAGAGATAAAAAGGGAAAAAGCTGTTTCAATTTTAAAAATAAATGCTGAGGCTGAATTTCCCATAGGATAAGATGTTGGGAAGCTAGATAGTTGGACATAAAAGCGTGATGTTGACAGAAGACCCAAAGGTTTGGGCACCATCCTCATATAGATAAGTGGTTGAAATAAGGAGAATAATGAGATTATCCGGGGAAAACGTGTAAAGTGAGGGGTCACGAAGTGAGAATGGATACCTGGGAGAACACCTGGGAATACGTGGATTGTTGCCGTGCAGTTTGGGGAGCAACTAACCCGCCCCAGTTCATTTCAAGAATGTCATGTTCCAACCCCATGTGCCGGCAGTAATGGAGAGTCCTGTTCATCATGTTCTGAGTTTTCAAGCTCCTCCTGTTTATAAATCTGGGGTCCCCTTGTTCTCACATGATCTTGCTGGGGAGAGAAAAGTCCAATCTGTCTGACTCCAATGTGGAGAGGTCCAAGATGTGCTGACTGCTGAGTGGACACTGGACTTGCTGAGTTTTGTGCAAAGCGTAGACACTAAGTCCTAAACCCTCAAGGTGGGCAGGATGTGAGGTTATCACTATTCCACTGGTGGTTTTCAGGACAAAATTCCTAGTACCCAGGGGTACCCTCACTGGAAGGACTTAGAGCCAAGTTAAAAGCTCTTTCAATTTCCCATTGCTTCGCGAAGCCAAGACAATGGGCATCAGGGCAGACCACTCAGTGGGCACAAAGATGCTCCTTACGGGGCACCAGGTAACTCTGGGGCAAAACAGCAGCTGCACTGGCCTCAAATAAGACCCAGCATTTGTCATGACCGAATAATGCTCTCAACTCAATGAATAAAGGAAAGAACAAAGGTTTCAGCCTGGGTAGGTAGGGAGGAAAGACAAAAATTGACTGATGATCTGGGAGAAATTCGAACTCTCAAGGGATTCAAGAGTAGAAAGAGACGCCCTCGTTGGAAGACCGTGAAAGGCTGACGTGGCGCCGTTATAGAGGACGCGAGGTGGGCGCCGGCTCTGGGGTGGCACCACAGACAGCAGGGATGGACGTCGCTGTTGAGGAGCACAAAGCTAGGGTGGTCAACGGCTTGACTGTGAGAACACTCAAACCCCAAAGGTGCAGAAAGGAAATGGGGTTCAGAGAATGACTACGAGGCAAGACACCCCACGTCTTTAATAAATGAAGGGAAGCAACCAGGAGGAGAGTGAGAATGGTGAGAAGGGTCTCAGAGAATCTTTGGCCAGAGGCAGAGACCCTCAAAGGGTCCCTTCCCCTCTGGCAGGACACGTGTCAATTCCGAAGCCACCACGAGTCTTGTTGCAGAGCACTTCAGACACCAGGCCTGGTTTCCAGGGCTGAATATCGACGCCCTACTTGTATGTGTCGTGTAGTTTATTATGGTCTGTTCTCTTCTGAAACTAAATCTAATGTGACTCGGCTTCCGTTTTGTTTCAGAGTAATGGGAATCCACGAATCCAGTTCTGTGGCGGAAATGCTTCGGCCGTACCCGCGTTCTATTCTTCTATGAGTACTGCAATTGTCATTTTCAAATCTGGAGTTTTCACCACAAACTCTAGAGTGAGTTTTACCTATCAGATTGCAGGTGAGCCCTGGAAATTCATCTTTTACTCAGAAAACCTGCCTTCATTGCACATATTGCCAGAACTGGCTCCTGTCAGCAAATCAGCGTTTAACATAAACCACACCCATCTGAGGAGAGACTCAACTAGAACCCAGGCCCAATTTAGCAAATTACTAAAAGCTGGTTTCTGGAGAGGTAAAGTGAGTATAATGCTAAGTAAAACGCTTAGAGTACTAGCATATGTTTCAAAGTCCATGTAGCTCATTTAAAACTATACCAGTTATTTTATAAGTTATCCACTCGATCACATGTAGGAATCGCTATATATATATATATATTTTTTTTTTTTTACAAAAGCTTTATCAAGATATAATTCCTATCTCTCATAATTTACCCATTTAAAGTTTGCATTTCAGTGGTCTTTAGTATGTTCACAAAGTTGGGAATCGCTCTCTCTTAGGAAATTATTTTATAAAAACCAAGAAGCCTTGAATGGGTCACCAGGTTACTATAACTGGGAAGTTTATTTCCAGAGGACTCTTATTTAATGTTTACTTTGAACTCGATTACGACTAAAGCTGCCTTTGATTAAAACAAACACATGAAAATACTTTGGGTATTTTTTACTGAAAATGGTAAAGAACAATGAGTTGCCAGTTCTGTCAGAACAAGTAACTCACCAAAGGAGTTAAAGGGAAGTCCCCTTGCAGAACTCTGTCTTGGAGGTTAAACCTTTATGTCTGAAAAACGTCTAAATGTCAGCCACCCCCACCTCAAAGTGATCAGAAAAGTTCAAAGGATGCTGGAATATTCCTCTTCTGAGGCAAGGCGCCCTGAGGTCGTACTTCACAGGGGTGTTTTGTGTTCACGGTGCTGCCTGTGCTCTGGGTGAAATTCCCTTCACCTCCCGAGGCTCAGTTATCTCAGAGGTAAGCAGAGAGGCTGCGTTACTTTTTTCTAAAGTTTGTTCAAATATAATGATCTTTTTGAATTATGCCTGTCAAGTGGAAAGAACACTAATATTTGGATGCATACATTAATTATGAATTTTTTTTCCTCTAAGATTGCAACAGAGAATATAACACGGGATTTGGCAATCTGAGAAGTCCTGGATGGCCGGATAATTATAACAATAACATGGATTGCACTGTTCTTCTCACGGCCCCACAGAACCACGCCATTTCCCTCTTTTTTCATTCATTTGCCATCGAGGACTCAAGTGAATGCAGACATGATTTCTTGGAGGTAATTAATACGCATTTCAATATCATTTAAATGAATTATTTAACAGACGATGGATCACTTCAGATTTTCCACCTTTTTCTCTAGTGTCTCTAATCCTATAGGGCCTTTATTCATTTCGTTCTCACCCTTGGCGGGTGAGAACGCCTCCTCCTAGCTGTCCTTCTTTATTCCACAGAATGGAGCTGGAACTTCCTGTCCAATAAGCAAAGAAAGGAAACCACACTTAGGCCTGTAAAGTGTAGCTGTGTCTGGCTCTCGCTGGGAAGGTCTGGGCATAGTTTCCTGGCCGCTGCGCCAGGAAGCCTCAGCATTCCGTTCCTGTTCCCTGCGCTGGGAACGGAAACGTCTTACTGAAGATGCTGATTGTGTTACCACCAAGCAAAGGCCAAGCTCTGGACCATACCTGGAATCTGCCATTGTCCTTCACCTCCCCTTTCAGAATGCTCTGATGTCCCAGAGATGGCCACTGCATCACTCTCTGCTATCGGCCACTGTGTAGACCTAAAAGGAATCTCCCCAGATCAGTCTCTCCAGATCAGCAAGACTAGAGCTAGAGAAACTCTGTGACTTAAGACAACCAGTAATAGACCAATTTTTAAATTGTGGAATTATAAAGGAAATAGAGGAACTTCCAAGATTTTGAATACATAGATGATTAAAATCAGCATTTGTACATGTCAAGCCGGTGTCAAGTATTTAGCCTGGGTACCATTTCCTTAAGAAGCCTCAAGAGTCCTTCTCCAAGCAGGGCAGTTTGTGGGTGCACAGTAGGAACCCAGCTGGAGGACGGAAAGTGGTTGAATTCGGTGTGGTTATCTCACACACCGACTCGTTTCTGTTTTCATATGTGTCTACTCCATGCCTGAGGTGAAACAAAAAGGCAACACAGCCTCAGAGTGTGTTTTTAAAATACATTTAACATCAGTCAGAAATTGTATAGATTTATTGCATTGTGTCCTTTTCCCGTACAGAACTTCCTTTTGTTCTGGACTTTATTATACTCTGTACATTGTATTTTTTTCAGAGCCTCTTTACAACTAGGTAATTTTCAGTGGGAAACACACACACACACACACACACACACACACACACACACACACAGTACAATGAATAAAGCATCATAGATGACCAGAAACGGAGCAGGCAACATTGCCCCCGACTCCCACCCTTTAAAAATTCACTTTAAGTGTATTCTTCAAAATGTTTCCCCAAACGCAAAGGCCACAGGATCACAGCACCGATCGGTGTGTAAAACAGTGTCCTGGTGTTTTAATTCCTGTAGGTTACCAGATATTTCTGAATTCAAATGCAAATGGCTTTTGTTCTACAAATTGAACATTTTTCACCTTTGCAAGTAAAGATGACTTCTGCATGTTTCAGAAAATCCTTTATTCTTAATTATACAAAAAGACAAAGCTTTTCCAAAAAATGGTGTCAAATTTTGTCACCTCTTTATGTATAGCAAGGATAAATTGGAGGAGAAAGTATACAAATAACAATGGCTCCTTTTTGAAGGTAAGAAACGGAAGTAATAGCGATTCACCACTCCTGGGCAAGTACTGTGGAACTCTGCTGCCAAATCCTGTCTTCTCCCAAAATAATGAACTCTACCTGCGATTTAAGAGTGACGGTGTAATTTCCAGTCATGGATATGAGATCATCTGGACCTCATCACCCTCCGGTAAGACATTTGCACTTTGTAAGGGAAAGCAATGCAGGTGAGAAAAACATAAGGTGCCTAATAGAAAAAGACAATGGTACCTTATCATTTTAGCTATCTATGTGCTTGATTATTTTCTGTTAAAGATAGGATTTTTTTTTTGCAGGTTTGGTTGGCTGTTTATCAAATAGCTAAAGGAAAATTTAAGTCATGTCAATATATTAATTCAAGAGAGAAGGAGCACCTTCATGAAATGTCCCCAAATATCTAAAAACCTTCAAAATAAGAAGGATAAAAAGGGCCCTTTTTAAATAACGAAGGGATAAGAAAAGAGTTCTGTCAAGACGGTTGTGGATAAAGACATCTTGGCACTTAGAGAGGAAGCTTAAAGATCATCTCCAATGCCCCGATTTTGTAGATGAGGAGAAAAAACACCTGGATTAGTGAGTTGACCGAAATGCTCAGTTAGGGTCTGGGCAGCCTAGACCTTGGTGGCCAGACGCCCGCCTGGGTGCTTTGCAATTATGCCGGCCAGGCACGATACCTGGATCCCCACGGATATCCAGTCTAAATTATGTTAGCTTTCGTATACATATTAACAAATCAAACAAATTAATATCAATACTTAATTAAGTCAACTACTTCCTATTTGACTGACAAATACTGACTCAACTAAGTCAGTCGGTAGCCTGGTAAAGTCTCTTATATTATGAATGAATTCCTGCCACAACCTACAATAACACACTCTCTCTCGGTTCAGCCCTGATTTTTACTTTTAATTTTACTTCAACCACATCCTTCTTCTCAACTCAGGGCACACAGAGCTCTGTACTCCTTTGAAAGTGCACAGACGTCAACTCTACTGTCCCCTGCAGTTATTTTCATCAGGTTCTTTGTTTTTCCATTCTGCTCCCAACCACAGTTTTCAAAGCACAGTCCTGGGGGACGTCGTCCCTGCGTCATGATGTGTGTGCGGGGAGAGGAATGTATGTGAGGTGGGGGAGGGACGGGCCTGGGGAAGGAGGACCAGGAAAGGGGGTCTCTCCCTCCACTGTTCTTGCAGAGTCCCAGCACCTTAGGAAAATAGACAGTCCTATTGCCTGCACATGGCACACTGGTTTATCCTTGGACTCAAACGCCCTGTGGCTTTCTCCTTGCAGGCTGCGGTGGGACTCTGTATGGAGACCGGGGCTCCTTCACCAGCCCCGGCTACCCGGGCACGTACCCCAACCACACGCACTGCGAGTGGACCCTCACGGCTCCTGCCGGGAGGATTGTCACCGTCAGCTTCTACTTCATCAGCATCGACGACCCGGGAGACTGCGCCCGGAACTATCTCATCCTCTACGACGGACCCAGCGCTGACTCTCCATCCTATGGACCGTATTGTGGCGCCGTGAGTAAAGCAGACATTTTTAGATCCCCTCTTGTTATTTTTAAACAATGAAAGCGACTTAGCATAGACTTTTAAAAGCAGACACCTGTGAAGAACAAAGCGTAAGCCTTTAAGAAACTTGGGTGCAGGGTTCTGATCTTCCTATTTGGGGAGCAGGAGTGCCATCTGGTGGCCATTGCGTTAAATTACTACTAATAGGTACCAAAGCCAGCTCTGGCGTGAGCATCACCTGCGGAGTTACTTAATCATTACAGACTTGCGCCTCCCACCCAGACCTACCGAATCAGAATTTCTCCGGGAGGATGCATGGCTCCCTATGTGATTTCAATGCACTGCCCGTGGTTGAGTATCCGTGTTTATTGCTGCATAAATAGAACTATAGACAATTTGGACAGCTGGCTCCATTTCATCTACTTCTTGCTGAAAATTGCAGTTCTCTGAAGAAACGGCAACTAATAGTTCGATTGTTTTTGTAAAGCTCTGATGGAATAGAGCTCTCCTTGAACATCAGCTTGGAATCTGACATCGACTCAGGCTGCAGTCATCCGCGCTTACTACCCCGCACGTGAATTTGATACCGAAGAGC